ACGCGCGCACACACGCAGACGTGCACGTGCATATACACAGAGGCGTACACACCCACGTGGGTGCACACACACGCGTGCACACAGACGTGCACATGCATATACACAGAGAATCGTGCACACCCATGTGGGTGCGCACATACACGCATGCGCACGCAGACGTGCACGTGCATATACAGAGGCGTACACACCCACGTGGGTGCGCGCACACACAGACGTGCACATGCATATACACAGAGAATCGTGCACACCCACGTGGGTGCGCACATACACGCACGCGCACGCAGACGTGCACGTGCATATACAGAGGCGTACACACCCATGTGGGTGCGCGCACACGCAGACGTGCACGTGCATATACACAGAGAATCGTGCACACCCACGTGGGTGCGTACACACACACACACGCGCACACAGATGTGCACGTGCATATACACAGAGGCGTGCACACCCACACATACCCATGGGTGGGTGCACACACACATACACCCATGCACACACATAGATGTACACATGCACATACAAGTACATATACACACGCATATATACACACATATATATATAACAAAGACATGCATATACACATGGATGGACAGTTGTATCTGTGCACATATACATACACGTATGCACACGGGTGTGCACATACACATAGATGTGGCATGCACATACATGTGTGTGCACATATAGAAATACACGTGCATATGTGTGTGCATGCACATGTGTATAGATATACACACGGATGTGCACATGCAATATATAAATATGTATGCACGCATGTGTACATATATACACTACTCATGTGCATTGATGTACATTTACATAGACACGTGTACATGCATATGCATACACATGCATCTACATGCACCAACACATACATACATACACTGCACACACACACATGTACACACACTCTTGCAGGGGGACTTTTTACAGGGATTTGACTCCCCACCACAACTGTCGGAGCTAGGTAAGCTGTCTCTCTGAGGAGTGTGAGGTCCACAGGGCAGGTGGCAGGAAAGGGAGGGTGGCTGGCAGGTGAGAGGTGAAAGGGGGTGGAGAGTGCGAACCCCCCAGCATGAGCTGGAACCTGCAGGGACAGCCACTCTGGCCAATACCCCTCGCCCTTAGAAATGACCCACCCATTACCTGTTGGGGGGCTGAGACCTGTGTGCAGCTTGGAAATTTTCATGATTATAGGATGTCTAATTGAGGTCCCTACAAGTGTCTTCAGCGGGTGCCCTAGAAGGAGCGCCCAACCTGGGGGTTCCTGGTGGGCGACTCCCATGAGGGCTCCCAGAAAAGGCAGAGGGAGGGGCAGGAGAGTGGCAGGAGGGGACCTCAGCCTGGGGCCAGCCCTTTACACTTCCTGTCGCCCGCTGGTCACGGGGGGTGGGAGAGGGGGAGGCTGCAAACAGACAGATCGGCGGGGCATCAGTAGCACCCTCTCCAGCAGGGACCCCTCTGGCAGGTCCTCTCTCCCTCCTCCTCCCCATCCTCCCACCCGATGGGCTTGAAAACCAGAGCATGGCAAAATTCTCTCCTTGTCCCGAGACCCAACACAACCCAGCTCTTCCTGGTCACACCTCCTGGGGGACCCACCCAGTGATGGCAACTATCGGCACCTTCCGGGCTGCCCAAAACCTTCGGGAAGGCACCTTGGATCCTCACAAGTTTAGCGGTGCAAATAATAACAATAATTAAAAGGCAGCGGGTCCGGGCTGCATTGATTTCTTGTTTTATTTTGCTCTGAGTGGAGCTCATCTCATGGCTACTATTTAAATGGGCAGGGCAGACAGGAATTACATCCTCTTTCCCCCTCCAAATAGATTCTGCCCTCATCGGGTGACAAGAGCTTGGCAAGGGGCTTGGGTTACCGGCCCCGCTGTGACCGGGGACCGGCAGCCACGAGCAGCTTGCAGCTCTTCCGGTCCATTACCGCTGCTCCAGGAGACCCTTCGTATGGATTTTTATGTTGTGTTGGCAGCTCCTCACGCCTTAGTCACGCACGCATCAGACCCCAGCGCCGAAAGAAACCAAGCCACCAGAACAATAAGGCCCGACAGGAGGGGATGTGCAGGGCATCTGTGCAGGCCGTGGCAGAAGACCAGGCAGCCCGGGGGTCCTGGCAGATGGGCGCAGGCTTGAGTCGCCGGGGGCAGATAGAAGGTTCCAGGAGACATCCTCCACCCAAGGCGGCCTCCTCAGGCTGCGCAGAGCTTGTTCATGGCTAATGAGCCCTAATTAACATGTTGATGGGATGTGCGCTGTTTATATTTGGAAACTTTTTGCTGTGTTGGTTGTTGCTTTTGCCGGATTCATGGTGTTCAGGTTGGATCCTCTCCTCCTTCCTGGCCCCCTGTCCTCTCCTCCTCCCCGGCCCCCTGTCCTCTCCTCCTCCCTGGCCTCCTGTCCTCTGCTTCTCCCCAGGCCTCTGCCCTCAGCCAGCCCTCTGAGCCCAATCACTTGCTGGGGCCCTGTGCCCGCTGCATCCGTGGCTCTTCTCCAGACCATCATGGTTCCAGGCTACGCATCCGGACTTCCAAGCCCATCCTGCTTCTCTCTAGGCAACTCGTTGATCCTGGCACCTGCCTCTATGTTCACCACTCTTTGGCTAGGGCATCTGGAAAGGAGAGTCCTAAGAGACCATTTGGATGGGTGTCCTTGAAGGGAGCTGAGGGCTGAGGCACCAGAATCAGAATTAAGTTAAAGACTGTGGCCTGGGGGCAACTGGGTGGCTCAGTCGTTAGGCGTCTGCCTTCGGCTCAGGTCATGATCCCAGGGTCCTGGGATTGAGCCCCGCATCGGGCTCCCTGCTCCACGGGAAGCCTGCTTCTCCCTCTCCCACTCCCCCTGCTTGTATTCCCTCTCTCGCTGTCTCTCTCTCTCTAATAAATAAATAAAATCTTTTAAAAATTAAAAAAAAAAAAAGGCCCGGAGCCTGGATCTGCTCAGAATATCCTCCTAAGGATCGAGCCCCTCACTGAAACATCCACGTGTTCTGGTGGGGAGTGGTGAGCACCTGTAGTCATCCAGAGAAAATACCTTTTTCCCAAGTTCTATGGCAATTCGGGAGCAAGCCTGGATACAGAGGTCGTGATAAGGGGGAGAAAGACTGTGCCCTGGGGTAGGGGAGCTTCTCTGAGACCACTACCAGTTCATACAGCCTGCTTCCGAAGTGCTTTTCCAACTCCCCCTCCCCGCTCCTCAAACCCTCTCCAGCCTCCCTGCTAACCTCACACAGTCTTCTTCCTTCTGCACCCCTGCATAGCCCTGCCCTCCCCAACACCTTCGAACCCTCACCCCTCACCCCACATCAGCTTCCCCAAACCCACCCTCCACTAGAGTGAGTGCATCAGGCAGCTACTGCCCACATAATACTCCATAACAAACTACCCACAAAGTCAGTGGCTTACGAAAGAATTTGCCCTCACTCTGACATGTTTGCAGACAAATCTCCTTTCTGTCAGTTAAAGAAGGGCTGGGCAGGACAGCCTTGTCTCAGGCTGTGTATTACTTGAGCTTGACTCCCGGCTGCGGGTTGGGCCCAGGTCTGCTCCCCGTGTATTTATCCAAAGCCTAGGCTGGTGGGGCCCTGCTCATGGCATATCACCAGAGCACAGGATCCAAGCATGCACTCTGCTCATGCCTTGTCCACTGTCATCCCATTGACCAACACAAGCCACTTGATCAACCTTGGCATCGATGGGGAAAGGAAAATAATTTTTTTTCTCTGCCCACAGTGGGAGAGAGGCTATGACTATTTGCTAAACAGCAACCCAACTATCTCCCCTCGGCTAAGTCCCACTTCCCACAAAGCCTCCCTGGCTCTCCTGACCGGCCAGCCCTCATCTCTCACCTCTGAACTTCCTGCTTCATGACAGCCTCCTCTGGACCTGGCTCTGTCAGCATGCGGTGATGTGTGTCCTATGGCCTCATCTGGATTGCAAACACCCTGCATTTGGGCCACCCCCCAAGGTCCTATTTGCCCCACACAACCCTTAGCATGGTTCCTCACAAGAGATGCTCAATAAATGACTTACAAATACATGAATAAGTGAAGTTGTACCTTTGAATCAAAGGTGACTCCCCATCCATAAGGCTTTCTCCCAGTCATACACAGAAGGGCCAGGTTCGTGGGCCCCAGGCTCCACGAGGGAATGAGCATCCCCTGCCTGTTGGGAAGGCTTTGACATGCTGGCCTCACCCTAGGCCCCCAAGGTCAGGGACAAGGAACCAGGTTCTTACTCCAGCAGCCTAACATGGCCATGACAAGATGCTCCCTCTCTGCAGACTCCTCCAGCCCTGGTATGATTACCAACCACTCCTATACAGCTTTTCTAACGTGGCAGCAACCCACATTCTCTAAAAGGGACATACCACCAAAACTAAAAAATCCCAATTAATACCCAGGAATGGGATGGACACGCAGCTCTTCTGTTGGTGAAAATGTGGCTTCACATCTCCCTGTACGGGTGACCCTGTCACTGGCTCCACACTGTTGTGGGACACAGAGGTGTCAGACTCGCCCTGGCTATGGGTGATGGGGTTCTGGGAGCTGGGGCCAGGGAAGGGGAGCCAATCTACAAGTGCTAGAGCAAATCAATGAACTACTTGAAGGTCTTGTTAACACACAGTGGTCACCAAAGAAACATTTGTTGGATAGATGGCTAGATGGAAGGATGGATGGATAAGTGGATGGATGGATGGATGGATGGATAAGTGGATGGATGGATGGATGGATGGATGGATGGATGGATGGATGGATGGATGGATGGATGAATAAGTGGATGGATGGATGGATGGATGGATGGATGGATGGATGGATGGATAAGTAGATGGATGGATGGATGAATAAGTGGATGGATAGATGGATGGATGGATGATGGATGGATGGATAAGTAGATGGATGGATGGATGGATAAATGGATGGATGGATGGATGGATGGATGGATGGATGGATGGATGGTTGGATGAATGGATGGATGGATGGTTGGATGGATGGATGGATGGATGGATGGATGGATGGATGGATGGATGGATGAGTGGATGGATGGATGAGTGGATGGATGGATGGATGGACGGACGGACGGACGGACGGACGGGTGGATGGATGGATGGATGGTTAAGTAGATGGATGGATGGAGGGAGGGAGGGAGGGATGGATGGATGGATGGATAAATGGATAGATAAGTGGATGAGACATTGCCTCTATTGAACTATGATGACTGAACATAACCAACCATCCTAGTTGGCCCAGCACCCCAGTGAGGTTTTCTGAGATACAGAAAACTCAGGACTGTTCCAGGCAAGTTGGGGTAAGTTGGTTGCCTTCTGTGAACAAGCAAATCCATCAAGTCCTTCAGTGTAACTTTCCTGTGCCTGGCCTTGGGGAGAGAGGCAGAAATCAGGGCCATAACAGTGGGAAGCAGACCAGAGACTCACCCCACCTTCACACAAACTTCCCTGGCAGGAAGAAAGGATCAGTTCCTGGAGGAACGGACCATTCCATCAGGGTGACTCTTGCTGATGTCACCAGCTAGCTGCTCCTGAGGGGAAACAGTGGGAACCCCTGGAGGCTGAGAAAGCAGGCTCTCATGGGCTCCTTGACTGCTAAGAGCAGCTGTGCTGGGAGGGAGCAGGATTGTTTCTGGAACAGCGGAAAAGCAGAAAACTAGGGATTGCCTCCAAATCTGGGGCTTCTGCCCAGCGCCCTCAGAGGTCAGCCAGCCAGAACCCAATGTTCATAGCAATGCAGCCTGACATCCTTGAACACGTATCCAACAACTGGAGGATGGGGGTTTGTGGTGCACTCCCACACTGGAATTCTACCTGGCACTGAAAAGAAATGAACCACGTTTCGCATGCGTGAAGCTCAGAAAAAACAACATAGAGTTTAAAAAAGGGAAAAAGGTGCAGAAGAAAATACAGTGTGAGTCTATTCGAACAAAGTTCAGAAATATACAAGTAAATCATATGCTGTTTGGAGGAAACACAGAGTAGTTACAACCATAAAGAAAAGCAAGCAAATGAACAATTCAAAACACAGGACGGGGCGCCTGGGTGGCTCAGTCATTAAGCGTCTGCCTTTGGCTCAGGTCATGATCCCTGGGTCCTGGGATCGAGTCCCACGTCGGGCTCCCTGCTCCGCGGGAGGCCTGCTTCTCCCTCTCCCACTCCCCCCGCTTGTGTTCCTGCTCTCACTGTGTCTCTCTCTGTCCAAGAAATAAATAAAATCTTTAAAAAAAAAAAAAAAAGAAAACCACAGGACAGAGTTCCCCTTTTGGGGACAGGGAATAAAACCGGGAGGAGCAGTGGGGCCAGTGGTGGGTCCACAGGCACGTTGTGCTTATGTATTATTTACACTTCAATGTCTATGCATATTTCATAAAGCAAGCAAGGAACAGAAAGGCAAGGCAAGAAGCTAACATGACGGGACAGAGAGTGAAGGGAAGGAGAAGAGGGGCAGTGAGGAGCTGCTGACGTGATCTCTGAGCCAGGGAGGCACCCCCAACCCACTGATGGGGGTGTCTCTCAGTCCCACATGGTGCTTTGTCCTCCTGTCCCACAGAGGGGGCCCATCTCTGAGTCCGACACCCTACCAGAGCACGGCATGGGCAAAGCACGTCTGCTCTCCTGCCTGGGGCTCCCATGGTGCGACCATGGGGCTCTCCCCTGGGCTGAACTGGGCTGGACAGGGGTGCTGGCCCGGCTGCTACTGGGAAGTGTCCTGGGGGACCTGGCCTGGCCCTACCTTCCCCCCTTCCTCATTCCCACCTGCCAGCCTCAGGGTGGGGCTTCCTGCCACACTCCCTCTGCTTGGGGGCAGTGGGGAGGGAGCAGAAACCCAAGGTCCTCAGGGGCCATGCCTTTTCTCCCGGCAAAGCTTTCCTCTCAAGGGGTGAGGGGCATGTAGCGATGTCATCCCATCCCCTTTGGCCAAACCCTGTTCCATGCCCCTCTCCACCTGCCCCAAGAGGGACACCCTAGGACCCCACTCGGCACCCAAACGCACGCAAGCACAAGGCAGCTAACCTCCAGCCCAGGAGGAGACCGCCATGGGCCAGTCTCCTCTCTCCTTCCTCCATCTGGACAGACCATCCTGACAGGTGCCTTACAAGGCCCCTTGGAGGCTGGTCCTGGGAGCTGGGCTGTCCATCCCGCCTGGGGGGACTCCACCCCCCTCCCCAAGAAATCAAGATCCTTCCTGTCAGGCTCTGCTTCCCTGTGATCCTGGGCTGAGCCCTCCAGGACACCCCCAGAGCCCGCAGTGCCCCGTTCCTCAGCACCCACCCTGGGATCTAGACCCTCCACTGCCTTTGCAATGGATTTGCACAACAGCACATTTGTTCGGTTTCATGGGGTATTGCACGAAAATTCTGTGAAATTAGGTTCTGGTACTAATATCATGCTCTGCCCATTCGTCTGCTTTTATGTCCAGCGCAGAGACTGAAAGGAGAGGAACCAGGGCATGCAGTGGGGGCGGGAGGGCCTGGGGCGGTGGCTAGGGTTTTCCATCCGTCCGGGGAATGGGGGAGGGAAGCTGAGGAGCAGAGGGAGGCTGTGGGGCCCCGCAGTGGGCACGTTTGAGATGGTGGGGCTCCCAGACTCCTGCCCAGTCTGGTGCACCTTTGGGCCTGGGCCTGCTGGTCTCTGAGGCTGGTTAGTAATGCCACCAGCAGAGAGCAGCTTCTCCGGGGCCAGTAAGGAGGGAAAGGGGAGAAGGGTGGGGAGGAAGGGGAAGGAAGGAAGGGAGGAAGGGAAGAGGGGGTGGGAGGGGAGGGGAAAGGGCGTGGGAGGGGGAGGGGAAGGAAGAGGAGGAGGGGAGGAGCCACCCATGGGCCAAGGCCATACCCCTTCCCTCTGAGAGCTGCTCTGAAGGGGATCCGTGGTTCCCAAAACCCCAGCCAGCTTCCCCTTCCTCACCAGCTTCACCCCGAGGTCTCTGGGCTGTGAAACCCTCAAATGCAAATCCCCCCACACCACCCACAGCCCCCCACCCATGCGCACACATGCACCCGAGAACATGCAAACCCAGCCACCCCATTCCCACCACTTGGCTGGCCCCTCGTCCCACCGATAGGGCTTCTTCCACTGCTGGCTTTCGTGGGCTGGCATTGGGCTTGGCCCACCGTGGGGGCCCCTCCGCATGTTGGAGACGCATCAGTCCAGCACAGCCAGGTCCAAGCAGCCCGCTCATCTGGCCTGTCAGGGGACTGGGTCTAAGGGCCACTCTCCTACTCCCAGGGGCTCCTCCTGCCCCCCAGGAGGCCTGATGGGGGGGTGGAATAGGGACAGGAGCCTCGGAATAGAAGTAAGAAACAGCTGGGTCAGGCTCCAGAGCTCAGCTGCATGCAGGGCACACAGGTCACTGGGAGGAGAAAGAGCCCCGGGTGCCGGACACGTCCTGCCCACCCCGCAGAGAGGGTGTCACCCTGCAGAGAGGGGGTCAGGCAGCCGGGACGAGGCCATCTCCAGCTGGCCTCCCCGCAACTGATGTCGCTTATTTTAAGTAAGCACAACCCTGGCCAGCATGGCCATCTGCATTGTTTGTCTGACTCAGAGGGAGAGAAAAGAAGCCCCACGAGGGGGGGCGCCGCGAGTGGAAACTGCCGAGCCCCTCCCGAGGCTCTGCTGCAGGCTCCGGCTCACTCGGCACTCAGGACCGGGCCTGCTGCCCTGCCCTAAATTTAACCAGCTGGAAATCTTTTTTAAGTCACATCCTATTGAACCTTTTGAAATAAAGATTTGCCTTTTAATGGGAAATCTGCATTTCATTGTGAAGAAAGAGCTGAGCAGCCTCCTGGCTTTGGCTGCAAACCCAGGGAAGCTCCCAGTGTGGGCACCCTCCCCCTCCACGCTGTCCCTGGGCTGAGGGGCTGGTTCCCAGCCGGCAGGCACAGCGGGCACACAGGCTTCCCCGGAGACAGCAGGAAACCGAGAGAGCCAACCGTGAAGGAAAGATGCCCTACCAAGAAAATAAGTAAGACGTCCTTGCTCACGCGGGACGGGGACCACGATCACGAGGAGCCCACAGCAGCCCCAATCCCACAGGCTGCATCCCGGGGCTGGGAGCGGGGCCCTCCCCCTGGGTTGTGGGCGAGGCACAGCCCGAAAGCCAGATAGCGTGTTCTCCGTGGGGACGACCTGTCACCAAACACGTGGAGGTAGAGGTCACAAGCACAGAAGAAGCGCTCACCACATTCAACTCTGTGAGGCCGTGTGTGAGGCTGGCTGCAGAGAGCACAGCCCAGCCCTCACCGACCTCACGATCTCCGTGGAGATCCACAGCAGAAAGGGGGGGCCCGGTGTGGGGTCCCCCCTGCAGGTAACCCCGGTCCAGTCCCAGGTGACACAGGGCAGGGGTGCGGGGAAGGGAGAGGGAGTGTAGGGCTGCAGAGCCCCTTGGCCCTGCCCTGGCTGGCTCCTGCCCAGGAGGGGGCCTGCTGAGCTCCCCCCCACCATGACGTCTTGACGTGTCAGCATGTAAACCAAACCCCCAAAGCCTTCTTCTGCAAGGAGGTGAACAGGTCCCTTGGTAACCGTTAACCATCTGTTTTCTGGGCTAGCTTGCCTGCCTAACTTCACTCTTCCTCTTACCAAAAGAGCATATTTTCATCCTTTTCACTGTTTTTATCTCAATGACAGTGCAAGCCAGAGCCGGGGCCGTGGATCAGCTTGCGTGGCCTCTGAGTTAGGGTCCTTTGTTCTGGGCCTGTACGTACGACCTGGATGTGGCCGCCCCTGCCTGGCCCTGTGAAGGGGGTGGCCAGTGTGCGGTTTCATCAGAGGCTCACCTGGGGAAGGAGCCACTTCCAAGCTCCTGCTGGTTGTCGGCAGAACTCCCTTCCTTGTGGTCTTAGGCCCTCATGTCCTCCTGCTGGCTGATGGCCGGGGTGGCTCTCAGTTCCCAGAGGCCACCCACGAACCCTACTCTTCCACTCCCTCGCCTCTGATCTGACTGCCCTTCCGGGAGCAAGATCCTCCCGAGCATCCTTGCGGCTTCTGAGTTCTGGGAGGCATGAGGCTGGGATGATCAGGAGGCCAAGCCTCCAGGGTCCCCTGGACACCCACACCCTTGGGCTCTCGGAGAAGACGCTTGCTTTCTTCACCCCTTCCTGACACCAGCAGGGCCCTAGGGACAGACCCCTGGGACGGCGACAAGTCCTTTGGCTTCAGGTCACACCTTGGGCTCCAGAGGCCCCACCTCACCACGTAAAGGATGGGGTGGAATGCAGCAATTCATGACTAACCCAGAGAAGCTGGTGGGTGGCCCCTGGGCCACTCCGAATCCGTTTACTATTTTAGGGCTTTTCCACTAAGCCTCAGGGACCTGGAGCTGCAGCTCCAGGAGAGAGGGGGGAGCAAAATGGCAGTCAGAAGAAAACCTATAAAAAAGGAAACATTTCAATAAAAGGTATTAAAAGATAAAGCAGTGATACATTTTTAAACATTTCTCATTTGTTTTCCCGAAGGTCTCGACAACTGGCTTCTAGAAGAGTGGATGGTAGGCTTTAGAAATGTGATTTTAATTGTCTCCTGAGCAGCCACCCCGGCCCGCCCGCACTTCCACCCCCATTTATAGAGGCAGCTTTTCCAGCCCCTGTGGTGCAGTGACCGGGGGACAGGGCTTCACAGGCAGGCAATCCGGACACGCGTGGAGCTGCCCAGCCTTCACAGGCTTGTCTTGTATTATTCAACACCCAACCCTTTCAGCTCACATCGGCTGCAGAGCTTATGTTCCCAGCAGAGGGAAAGGAACCAAAGGAATATTTGCAAAAAGCTGAGTTAAGTAAATATTTTATACCTGTTAATGTGATGGCTCGAAATGATGTGTGGGGTTGGCCCAGGGGCGGGCAGCACATGCTGCGGAATGTGCAGAGGGCCCCCAGGGGGTTCCTGCCAGCAGTGAGATGATCTTGCCCCCCTGCTTCTCAGCCTGCCGGCAAGGACTGATCCCAGACACCCCCTCTGCCCCCTCGATGGCCCTTAGACACTGGCTTGGTTTCCAGCAGAGGCTGAAAGAAGCAAAACATGAAGTCCTGGTGCCATTCCTAAGAAGGGAAACTTTCCGAGCTTGGTTAACGTGGTTCTCAAAGTGGGGCCCCAGAGCACTGGCCAGATGAAATGTGGATTCTCAGGCCTCACCCGAGACGCCACAGAGTCAGACGCTTTGGGCACGGGACCCAGCGACTGGGTTTACCAAGTCCTCCAGGGGACTCAGACACAAGATCAGTGCCGGGTGCTGGGGGGAAGGTGGCAGTGGGTCTTAGACGAGGGTGGTGGGGGGTCCCAGCTGTAGCCACTGTGGTCTGGCTGCGTTGCTGTGAGTCTATTTCATAGCTGGGGACTCCCCACTCCCCAGCAGCCAGGGCTTGGGAAGGAGCCCAGGGTATGTGGCCACACAGGGCCAGGTGGCATCTGCAATGCCAAATCTGGGAGCCCCCACTACCCCTTCCCACTGCTGGGGGCCTGGAATCTTGGGTGGGGCCAGGCATTTGGGGACTGAGCAGAAAGGCGGAAGCCCAGCTACAGTGGGAGGGAAGGAAGGAGCAGAGGACCCCTCGGCCTACCGACCGGGCACCTACACTGGACGGTGTCCCTTCTGTGACATTCTCCTTGGCCTGATCCTTCAGGGCTTTCCTAGGCAGGGGAGCAGGGAGGGGCAGGGGCTCTGCAGACGAGGGACTGCAGCTCCAACAAGAAGCCTCCACAGGCCCAACCTGGCCCCAGGCCCCTCTGCCCACTGGCACCATCTCAGGGGTCTCCCCCACCTCCCCCCAGGGCTCCGTGATGATGCATCCCGAGGGAGGGGCCTTCCTTGCAGATAGAGGCTTTCTTCCCAGGTCCGGTAGGAGTTAAACCCAGAGGTGGGAGCCTGATGCCCAAGGTTAATAGGGAGCTTGGGGTGGGGGGGTGTGGAACCCCATCGTCCTTCCCTCCCCTGAGGCTTCTCACCAGAAAGTTCCTCCACCCAGCTAGATGAGTCGGTTGGTGCAAGTGGAGGAGAGATGTTCTCCTGGGCCTGGTGAGAAGGGGATGGGTGGTGGGTATTCTGTCTTCCTCCTGGAGGGCCCTGAAGGGAGGGACAAGGCATGGGGGGGGGGCAGGGACCCGGGGAGGGACGTGGGGTGGGGGAGGGCCGGCAGGGCGCAAGGGCGGCACGGGGAGGGGCTGGTACGTAAAGTCTCAGACCGGCCGCAGGGTGCAGTGAGGAGATGCCTGAGCAAGAGGCTCCTTTGCTGCGGATCAATGGCAGCCAAAGCCATTAGCCACGAAAATGAGATCGAAGGGAGGGGCCTGGTCCGCGATCGATAGCAGGTTAGGCAGGACGGGCGGGAAAGGGCCCAACAGAGGACACCAGTGTCCACCACGGACGTCTCAACCCCAGGCGGCAGCCAGAGAAGCTCTTCTGCCCCCACCAGGGCCCTGCGCTCGCCACCTTAGTCTGGGCTCCGTGTGGCCCCAGAGAACCGTGGGGCCTCCCAGGGGCAGCCGTGCGGGCAGACAGCACCAAAGGAAGGAGGTCCCCAGGGGGCCGGGTGTCCCCAGGGGCCCGGGCTACTGCTGCAGCACTCGGGGGTGGAAGGCAAGGGGGCATGGCTCAGAGGATGTAGGAGGCCCAGGGCAGGGGAGGAGCTGAAGAATCTGGCTCACAAAGGCAGGGCCGGGTCACTGCAAGGACAAGTCAGCCCTCCTTTCCGCCCAAATGGCCCTCTGCCCAAGACTCAGAACCTGCGAGAGGTGTGCAGGGGGCCTGCTTATGGTCCAGTCCCACCCTTGCCGGGAGAGAGGCAGCCCCCGCCCCTGCCATCCAGGAATCCAGAGCCGTGTCCACCAGGGCAGGGGTGGAAGCCCCCGAGCGCCCACTCCCAGACACAAGTCCTTCCGTTCTCAGACACGAATACCAGCTGCGTGGCCTCAGGCAGAGGCCACTTGACACTGTCCCTAAGTGGGGAGCTCTGCAAGTTCTCTGCGCACAAGGGAGCTCCTCCCTAGAGAACAAGATCTCCTCCCTCCTGGCTCCCAGACTCACTGGGGCCCCTCCAGGCCAGGGAAGCAAGGCTCAGGCTCTGTGTCTGCGCAGGAGGCCAAAGGTCTCAAGCAGGAGTGAGCCACATCCACAGCCCAAGGTGACACCTGCAGAACCAGGGATGCCCATGGGGGACCCGGGTGATCCCAGGCAGGAGGAGGGAGGGGAAGCCCGGCAGAGTGGACGAGGAGCAGACAGGACGGGGAGGGGGAGGAGGAAGGCACGGGAGCCAGGGTCCCCCATACCCACAGCCACTGTACCAGATGAGGAGCCCCATGACACGCGGGCAGGGACAAGCCCAGGGACAGCCCACGTGCGGGAACAGCAGAAGACCACAGGAAGGGGCTGCGTCTCTGTGTGCCTCAGGTTCCCCCACATGCAGCACGAGGCAGCATGGAGTCAGCCTCATGACGAGAAGGAGCCTGGCACTACTAGGATTTCAACAAAGAGTTTCATCATCATCCATGGACCATAAAGAAGGATCCAGATAATAAAGGTTAAGACATGCACCAGAACGCTTGCGCCTATATGCTAAAACTGAAACCGTACGGAGATGCTCAGCGTGGCCCCTGCACCAGGACAACACCCACATTTGCAAAGGGTTCCACATAAAGAAAAATGCAACAGGTGTTCAAATAAAAATGTGTACACACACGTTCACAGCACCATTCCTGACAAGAGCCGAAAGGTAGAAGCAGTCCAAATATGCATCGATGCGCGAAAGGAGACGCGGGATGTGGTCTAGCCACACCGTGGAATATCCCGCCGCCGCGCAAAGGGACGGACTCTGACCCCTCCTGCGACGCGGATGGACCCTGAGCACATGGTGCCCCGAGGATGGCGCCAGGCAACTCCAGAGGCAGACGGAAGGTTGGGGGCTGCCAGGGGCGCTGCTGGAGAGGCTGGGGGGTCCCCGGGGCTGCTGACAATGTTCTAGAAGTAGACAGCACTGATGGTGGCAGACACCGCAAGGCACGAGACGCCACTGACTTGAACGAGTTTCTCTAACGTAAGTGGGTTCCACCCCAACAAGAGAAAACGAAGACCACAACGTAGTGATTATAGGAGCGGGCACCAGCTGTGTGCAGGACGGGGGGGGGGCCTAAGCCATCGTCAGTGAATCGTCACAGCGACCCCACCAAGTACAGATGTGACTGTCCCCCTTTTACACCTGAAGGAATCAAAGCCCAGAGAGGCTGAGTGACCTTGGGCAGGTATGGAGGGGGATTGGACCCTGCGATCTGGCTCCGGGAGAGCTGAATTTGGGGAGGAACCAGGGAGGAGGATGGCAGGGAGCGGGCAAGGTGAGCTCCCTACAGCCACAGGCGGGGTGGGCAGGGGGTGCTGCCCAAGCCCTGAGCCCTCACTGGGGCAGACGCCAGGACCACACTCTACCCGGCATCCAGGGGACCTTCTGGAAGGCCACCTGGACCCTGTCACGCCCCCTCCTCCACCCTGTCTCCCCCACACCCCCGCCCGGTCCCTTCCCTCCCGCCTGGAGCAGGGGACCGGCCTCCCTCCCTCACGGGAGGCGCTCCCGGCAATAGGAAAACCCCAACGCTCAGCCCGAAGCCGGGCTCTGTGAAAACAGCTGTTTGTCGCACTGGGCGCAGCAAAGGTTTTCCTTTGTAATTGGCCAAAAAGAGAAAAAGGTATTTTTCGAGCATCATTATCAATATAAGAACACAATAGGATCAATTCTCCCAACCCCCTCGGGCCCAGGACATGGCCGTGGCAGACCCCGCACAGGGGTCTGAGGACTGACGTCCCGGGAGGTGACCCCACAGCCTCCCCTGGATGCCCAGTCTTCGCGCCTCTCACAGTGGAGCGGACCACCCCCCGCCTCCTGCCTTGGCCTCCGTCTGCCCACCCGCCACCCTCGTCCCACCCTGGAGCCTGCGTGGGCTCAGCCATCCGGTCCTATGGGAAGCAGCCCTGGCCCCCCACCGGGGTGACCCTCCCTCGGCTACTGACCCTCGTCCATGACCCCCTCATCTGCTGTAGCAAGCTGACTGCTGATGACAAGGGAGCACTTATCACCTGCCTGTCCCGGGAGCCCCCTGGCATCACCTAGTGCCACATGCTCTACTCTGCCACCCCTGGACTCTCGGGAATCCCTCCAGCTCTGTGACCACCGGCCCAGTGCCAGCTGCGGGAAGGGGGCTACAAGACCCCAGACCAGCCCTAGGCAGGGACACCCAGCCCTGAGCCCTGGGTCAGAAGGGACCCAGCAGAACATGAGCAGGCCTGGGCCTCCTCCCAATTCAACCCCAGGTGGACAAGAAAAGCCCCACCAGGAGCCTGGAGCAGATGGGGCGGGCTCCGGACCCCTGCCCGGCCCACCATCTGTCCTGACAGTCGGCCCATCTGCCCGGGCAGCCCCTCCTCCCGGCCCACCATCTGCCGGCCTGCTTGGCCCTCCTCCTGGCTCCCCCAGGGCCCTCGGGAGGGGATGGGCCAGGAGCCAGAGCCCGGACCTGGCTGCCTCGGACCAACCCCATCTGGCACCCCTGAGGGGAAGGGGACGGCAGGAACCCAGCCAGGCAGGGCCATCTCCACAATGGCGGCCCCATGACTAGGGGGTGGCAGACGCGGGCCTCGCCCCTGGAGGAGGTGGCAGCCACACACACCCTCCTCCCCGCAAGGCCTGGCATCCCTGCTGAAAAGGCCTTGACCAGCCCCTTGTCCAGGCCTCCCCTGCCCACTTCACTTGCCCCCCCCCCCCCCCTCCGGCTGGCAGGTCCTCCAGGGTCCCTGGGAGCTGGCCAGAGCCTCCCCCTCCCTGAGAAGGAAGAAGAGGAATCTCCCTCCAGGACCCCAAGGGCAGGCTGGTGAGGGCAGAGGGGCATCGGAAGTCCCAGTTCTGCCCTGAGGCCCAGCTGCCAGGCCCCCATGCTGGCAACCCCAAATTTCCCAGCCATTTGCTCCCGAGGAACCCAGTGCTGAGAGGGCCAGGTCTGCCTTTGGAAGCCCACCTCGGGCACAGGGCTTCGCGGGCACCCAAGAGGTCATGAGATGGGGACTCAGCCCCTCCCCCTGCCTTGGACCCTTTGCTCATGAAACCCCCCCAGGGCCCCCACATCCTCCCTGGATCCCCTCACAAGGTGACACGATCACTCGGCCATAGAAGAAATGTGGGGTGCATGAGCTCTACTTGGTGAGGGGGTGAGGCAGGGCATGGGGGCCTACCAGGCTGTGGACGGTAGCCCAGCAGGTGGTCAGTCCCTCTATCTGGTCCCACAGACCCCCCACTCCCCATCGTGCCCTGAGCAGCCCCCAGGACGGCACCCAGCAGGGAAGGCAGTCAGGGGCTGGAACACAGGAGCCCCCCGCTCCTGCCCCAGGGGCAAATGGCTGGTCGGGACCTTGCCCCACCTTCCATCCATCAAGACCCTCGCGCCGGACCCCAGGAAGAGCTTCCTTTTGCCTGATGGAGGATGCCTTCCTGGTGACCCGCCATTCACCAGGCACCCTTGAGCCAGGGAGCCCCTTCCTGCCCTCCACCACACTGGACCACCCCCCATTCCCGCCGGGGGCAGGAAGCTGGAACCCACACCCACCAACGGGCCACCTCACTCCGGCGACACCCACCTGCCCCCCAGCCCCAGCTGGCTAACCAACAGACGTCGGTTTTCCTTTTAGGAGCAGGTAGACACAAGCCCACCCTGAGCCCCTATCAGCAGGGTGGAGCCCAGCATGCCGGGGTTGGGGACAGCACCAGCAAACCCACATCCACGCACCCTGTGGGGCACAGGGGACTCTGTCCTCCCTTGGCCCCCAGGGCCTGGTGGAAGCAGCCGGCAGGGGAACCCATTGGGGTAGCGCGAGGCCAGCAGATCGGTGGCTGGACAGCGCCACCTGGTGGCCCTCTCAGAGACTACAAAGCCAGGCGACCTTTTTGTTCTGGTTCTGGGGTTTTCAGGCGAGGCATTTCTTTCCCTCTTCCCAACAGGGCTCCGTGACTATCAGAACCCCCTGCCCTCTAATCGGATTCTGCTTAGATATGGCTAGTTATCAGAGGGCTCAACCCAGGCACTTCAAACAAGACAGGAAAATAAATAAAGAGCTTTTCCCCAATGAGGCCCCTGCAAGGCTAGCATGCCGGTCACCCGCTGCCTGAGGGAGTCACCCTTCCTCCTGTTCCCCGCCCCTGGCCTGCCACCTCTGAGGGGGGGAAAAGTCAGAAATCCCTGGCCAACGAGAGACAAATCAAGCCTAAAAAGAATACTAAAGGCAAGTGATAAAAACACACTAAATACATAAAATAGAAAAATATGTAGAAAAAGAGAAAACAAAACAAAATTTCAGGGAAACCCACTGGACGTAACAGGCTCCCAACTCTACTTTGAAAATTGTGAAAAGAAACGAATTAAGGATGTCTCCTTTTGAGCTGGATTCCAGGGTAATCTGTAAGTCCAGTTGATGCGGATGGTTTGGTTTGATTCACAGGAGGATTCCAGCTCCTCACTGCAGAAGGACGATGCCATTCGGAAATCACCATTTTGCAAGCTCTTTGTGACATAATTATTTCTTGAAACGGTCATGGATGGATAAGACCATCGATGAAAGATGTTAGCGAGGAGCTGGGGCCCGTCCAGCAGACCTGCTGAGTGGCCCCAGCATCACAGGTGAGCTCTGGGTGAGACACATGCCCGCCCATGAAGGGTTCTAGCAGAAAGATGAGCCTGCATGGGATCAAGCTTCCACAGCTAAACTTCTGTTTCCAGGAGAGATGGGAACAAAGTGACGCCACAGGAGGTGATCAGATCAATCGGATGGAGAATGTGCAGACACTGGGCAGGACAGCTGATCTGGCTTCTACAAGTCATGGCAGGAGGGAAATTGGGGTGGGGGTGATGCCTGATCTAGATCCAGAGAGATTTAAATGGCCCAGCAATCAAACTTGATGTGTGGACCTTGTTGGGAACCCAATTTAAACAAACCAGCTGCAAAAAGGTATTCCTGAGGCCATCAGAGAAGTCAGTTACGGACAGGGCATCAGCCCATAGGGAGGAATTCCTGCTGATTTTGATACGGTGTTATCAGAGCTGTAATTGTGTCACAAAATTTACGGGGGCAAAACCGCAGAGTGTCTGCTATGGGTTTGGGGATACTTCAATGAGGTAATACCAGTGTTGGGTGCTTATTAAGGTCACTTGATGGAATTGATGAAAAATCATAACAGATGAATTTAAAAATTTAGAAATAATTTTTAGAGGGATGACCTTGCAGTTACAGGGGTTAGATATCATTGTAAACAAACCTTCTGGAAATTACAGAGTAATACTGAAGGGGGTTACCCAAGGGAACAGCAAAGAGCAAGGAAACGATAAATAAACGTGACAATTCTCAGGAACTGTCAAATCAGGGTGATACGCACAGGACCTTGTGTTCTGTATTCTATTTTTCAGGGATTATGAAAACTTCCATTATAGAAATTTTTTCAAAGGAAGACACGTCCTGTCTCCTGCAAACGTCATCTGACACGGACCATCGCAGACGCTGACCCATCCTGCATGCCTGACCTGTCTCCTCTCTTTCTCAGGGACCTGTCTTGGGGTGGGAACATCTCTGGTGTTTACGGCCCCCGTGTCCCTGAGTGCGTAGGGCCCCCGCAGCGGGGCTGGGCACCTGCTCAGAGTCCCTGCCTGGCCCCCACAAGCTCCAGCACCCTGGGTCCCTGAGCAGCCCAAGCCAGCTGTTAGTCCCTGGTGATAAGGATTTGATGACTCAGCATCATCTCATCCTTCACAGAAACCAGCTTAGATGTGGTTGGTAAAAAAAAAAAATTCTCAGCTGGCAAAGCACTTTCTCCAGCCACCAAAGACCCCCCTGCCCTTCTGCCCACCGAGGAGTGCCACCAATATCCCTGAGAGCAAAGATGCACCACGCTCTCCGCATGCTGGGGGCTTTATGGCTGTGCCCACAAGCAGGTGCCTTCAATGGTTACTCCTTCCCTCACCTACTCTCAGACCCCAAGCAACCTGTCCGGGAGGGTTATGGGTTTCAGATCTTCTTAGAACTCCGGCTAGTCTGGGCCTCTGACCCCAGCCGTGGTCTCCAGAGCACCCAGGCTTGGAACTCCCCAAAGTGTGTTTCTGGGGTGTGCTGGCTTTCGAGGCTTCCCCTCTTGCCCCAGTGGCTGAGCTCTGCTGGGTGGGGAGGGGGCCGCAGCCGGGCCGGGGGGGGCAGCTGGGCCAGGGGCCGTGTCTGGGGCTCTCTGCAAAGTGTAAAGGGTGCCCGTCTACACCCCAGCCTTTAGAAAGCACCTCCCCCAATGCCTTTCACACAGCGGGTGCCCCCGCAAGTGCTGGCCGAACAGAGCGGCCCCCTGGACAACGCAAGCTGAGATGGAGGATCACGGAGACGCTTGTAAATTAACGGGTTGTCGTGCTGTGGCCGCATTACGTGGGACACAGGCCAGCCTCCAGTGAGATTTCCTGAACCTTCCCCTGGAGGGTCTCAGCGGCCAGAGCACAGGAGGACATCCACGCTCTCTCCCCCGCCTTCCCTCGGACCCGGGCCCAGGTGGGTCACAGTGGTTGACAGGGCGGTTCTTGACTTCATCCGTCTGCAGCCCGGGCTCGGCCCCACACACCTCCCCTGGTCGCCAAGCGTCCCGCTGGTGAAGGACTCGGACGACAGCAGCACCCATATAAAGGGGGTTCTCTGCCCGAGGGCCTTTGCTGCACGAGAGGGACACCGTCCTCCCCCAGGTGGGGGCGAGGAGTTGGGAGGAACAGCCCCAGCAGGGACATGTTAGCCGTCCCTTATCCGCCCAGCATGGCCAAAGGTAGTCCCTTATCTGCCTTGACATGTCCCTTCTTCATTATCTGCACATACACAGCATCTAAGTGGCTATAAAATAGATGGTTCTGAAGATAGCAGGTGCTCTGAGCTCCCCCGAGGGAAGGTCCTGGGACAGCGGCCCCGATGGACCCAGATGCCATCTGTCCTCTTCCCGCTGCCCGGTGTCCAGAAGGGCCCTCGACCTGCCTGGCCTTCGGGCAAAGTCAGCACTGCCACGCCCGCCCCCTGCCCCCACCCACCAGGGTGGTCGGCCAAGAGCCGGGAGCCAGTGGAAGGACAGACGGCCCCTGGCCCAGGTCCGCGCACCCCCCGCCCGGCTGCGGCCCCCTCCCCGCCCAGCAGAGCTCAGCCACTGGGGCAAGAAGGGAAGCCTCGAAAGCCAGCACACCCCGGAAACACACTTTGGGGAGTTCCAAGCCTGGGTGCTCTGGAGACCACGGCTGGGGTCAGAGGCCCAGACAAGCCGGAGTTCTAAGAAGAAAGCAAAGGCAAAGATTTATGCCTAAAACACCCAGGGGACAATGACAAAGCAAGTTCCAGGAAAAAACCCTCACGGATTAGCTGCAAGGGAGACCGGGCTTGCAAGGGGGTGGCAGCCAGCAGTGGGCTCCCCTCTGGGGGGGTTGGGGAGGGCTCAACCACAGACAGGACCAAGTTACTGGGGGCTCTGGGTGGGAAGGCAGGAGTGTACCCTCAGGTCCCCTTGCTCTGTCCCCCTCTGCCTTCCTGCCCCAATCAGCTGACAGTGCTGCTGACTCCCCCCGCCCACACAACCCTGCCTTGTCCTCCAGGGGGCCAAGGGCTCTGAGAAGGTGGGGAGATGCCCACCCAGGCCTTTGCTGCCCAGGACAGATCATGCTGAAGCCCTCATTTCTCATTGTCCTCCTTGCAATGGACCTGCTGGGGTCTGCTGGTGCTGGGGGGAAGCAGGACAGGCCAAGGAGGCCTCCCCGGGGCAGATTCTCAGGGCTGGGGGACACTATGGGCCGCAGGGTCGGTAGTCTGGCCAGGCCTGGCTGCTGGCCCCAGTGCCATCTGCCCGAGACCCCTCCCTGCATCTTTCCCAGGCCACCGAGCCCCTCCCGCTCGTCTGTCCTCAGTGGGAACGCGGGGCCAGCACCTCGCTGGCTAAGGACCCGGGACCCACCCCTCAGCTCACAGGTGCCAGAGGAAGCAGGAAGAGCAGGGCTAATCCAGGCTGGTTCTGGCCAGCCCAAGGAAAGCTCAGACTCAGCCACTGCCCAACCTCCCCAGCCAGGCTAGCTCCCCATTCGTGGTCAGCGTCCACCCAGCCCCTCTGGGGTCCTCCAAGCCAGTCTAGCAGTGAAGGGAGGAGTCTCCTTCATGCTGATCCAGCAAGCGAGCTTGTTAAATAGCAGGTGCCGCGGGGTACCGGCCAGAAGCACAGGGAGGGCACAGACAGAGCCACACACCCCGCCCAGGGGCCCCACGGCCCCCACAAACCTCCGGGGACACCTCCTCGGGCTCCTGAATGGAGATCCAGAGGTGGGGTCCTGCTGAGTCTGGGCGTCCAGCCAGCCCAGCCCTCGACCAGCTCTCCAAGGTGACCAGACCTCACACTCTCTGGACCTGGGAGTCCATTCTCGCATGATGGGCAGCTGGTGTCCCTGAATAAATGGTGGAGAGCCATGCTCACTGAGGAGCACAGTGGGGAACAGCTAACGGAGGGCAAGAGGAAGCCGGGAGAAGGTGAGCGCCAGGACGGGAGCCAAGCTGTCCCAGCAGGAGAGCCAGTGGAGGGCAGGGGCGGAGAAGGGACGGGTGGACGGAAGGCTCCGAGCAGGGCGATGGCCCCAAAGAATGGCCAGTTCCGCTCAGAAACAGCCACAGAGTCTCATCCTGCAGCCCCCAGGGGAGATCACTGGCCCTTGGAGCCTGCCTGGGGCCTGGGGTCCAGGGCGCAGCCCCAAGCCCAGCTGGGTGAGGAGGTGATGATGGGTGAGGAGGAGGAGGAGGGCTGGGGGCCCCCAACTCCCAAAGTGGCCTAAATCCAGGGCCTCGTGGCCGTGGACCACCTCACAGGAAGACCACTGATGGGGAACCAGGGGTCCCAGGCCTGCGAGGCTCAGCAGGGCCTGGGGGAGTCCCGATCCTCAGTGCTCAGCTCAGGGGCCCTGCCGGCTAGAATTCCCTTACCCCACGCCCCCACCCCACGCCCCTGCAGGCAGCGTCCCCACACTGGCCGAGGATGTTCTGTTGAGCTCATCACTCACTAAGCACTAAGAGGGAGAAAGACAAAATCCAAACTAACATTTATGTCACACTGACCCACACGTAAGTGGATATTCATGACGTTCGAGGAGAAAGATCATTGGTGGCCACAATCCCTTGGGTTGTGAGCTTTAAATATACTTATTTTCCTCTCTATGCTCTTCTGTATTTTCCAAATGTTCTGAAATGAGTATGAATTACTTCCAAAATTATCTTCTTAATTATCACTAAACGTCTAAAACTATTTTACTTATTTGTAAAATGGGGGTGAGGGGTGGGTAGAGGTTTTATGACCGTGATTTCGGTGTGCAGGTCTGCCCTCCACCAAGGGCGGGGACCCCATCCTTCTTATCCTCATCTGGAAACGCCTGACATAGCCGGGGCCTCGCTGGGGTTGTCCACCTACCACAGAATCTAGAATTCTCCAGTGAGGGCTGAACCCCCCTTAACATCCTTGGCATCTCAGAAAGGCCCCAGGATTCCCGGGTCTTTTTATTTTTAAATTTTTACTGGTAGTAAAATACACAGAACGTGAGATTCGCACTCATGTTGTTGTGCAACCGATTTGCAGAACTTTGTAATCGTCCCAAAGTGAAACTCTGTCCCCATTAAAACACTAACTCCCCACCCTGTCCTCTGACCCCCGGTGCCCCCATCCTACACTCTGTCTCTATGAGGACTCTAGGAACCTCACATAAATGGAATCCTATACTACCCATCCTTCTGTGACTGGCTGATTCCAGCTGGCTCCATGTCCTCCAGGTCCGTCCACACCGCAGCAGGTGTGCGGATGTCCTTCCCGTCTAAGGCTGCATGATATTCCACCGTGTGGACGGACCCTCATCCGAGGAGGGACTCCCGGCTTGCTTCTGTGTTTCAGCTCTTGTGAATCACCACTATGAACACAAGTGTGCAAATATCAGCCCTGGTCCCTCGTTCAGGGAGCCAACCTCCCTCCCTCATTCATTCCTCAGTGGTGGGAAAAGCAGACCAACTCATAATTACAGAGGTGACGAGCAGTTCAGCAAAAGAATCACAAAGGTCCCCAGCTCTGCCTGGGGCCATGGGGAAAAGCTCCCAAGTTGGGGGCGGGCCCTTCCTCCAGCTTATGAAGGACATGGTGGCTCTGGGAAAGGAGACCGATGCAGGGGTCCCTCAGACACGGGGATCCACAGGGCCAAGTGCGCAGATCCAGGAAGCCCCACCTGAGAACCTGGGTTTTGTCCCTTGGTCTCTTCAGGGACCTCACACTGCAGGGCTATCCCTACCCTGGGACAGATCTGCTCTTCAAGACAACCCGTCCCCACAGCCCAGAGCCCTCCCCCCACCCCCCATCCCAGAGTCGGGAACCAGGTGGCCCCAGCTCTCCGACCTCAGGACTCCGCCTCCCCGCATACCAGGAGGGAGGCCTGGGGGGCAGAGGAGAGGCTGCAAGGGAGGGGAGCACCCGTGTTCCCGGAGAGTCCTGCTAACCCCCACCACATAGTCCTGTTAAAATATTAATCCTCATTTAGCTGGCGGCGAGGTGGCCGCTGAGATAAAGCTCCTGAGTGGTAATAAAAAGCAGAGGCAACTGATAAAGTAGATCTTCGCACTCATAAAATCCTGCTGTCGTGAAGGTCAGGTCAGGCCCCCGTCATGGGGAGCAACCAGCAGACAGGTCCCAGTGGCACTAGGCAGGGGTGACCGCCTCCCACGACAGCGGAGGGAGGGTGCTCATCTTGGGGGGGGGGCCTGCTAATCCCTCCAGCAGAGGGAGCGGAGGGAGGCTGGGTCTCTCAGCTCCTTCTTCCCCCCCACAGTGCCGCTGGCCACCATGGCCCTTTGGGAGGGAACCGCCAGCCTCAGGCCACTGTCTCTCCCGCAGGAACACCACCGATCGCGGTGCCTCCTGCAGTTCACCTGCTGAGCCCAGGCCAGTCTGCGTGTGGCTCCTGGTGGCCTCCCACTGCCCCCCCCCCCCCGACACCTGTCCCAGGCTCAACGGCTCAGGCCTCCCAGGGACACGAGGATGAAGCACCCAATCCAGCCCCCACCACAGGTTCACAGGGACCCCCTCCCAAGGTGGCTGGCATGGCAACGGTGACATCCGGGACCCTGTTTGGGAAGGGTCATCTGCCATGTCCCCAGGTCAAATTCTTTGTTCATCTCCATCCTGATGGCAACGCTCCTCTCCAGCAAACTGTGTGGGCACCACCACCGCTTTCACTCCAAAGGGGCATGGACTGGGCACGGGGAGAGACCCACTAGACCCAAGCTTGCCACCTGTCACTGTGGACATGGGGAGGGTGGGCTCAGGATTTCCACATGCCTCCAACAGAGGGGACAGCCCCCGGCCAGATCACCTGCTCCTGCGCCCAGTCCCCCTGCCGGGGCGTCAGGGGCTCCCTGGCAGGTCACACCAGCCCGGGACTACACGGTGGCCAGACAGGGAGACGGTGATTCCTGGTTTGGAAACATCACTTCAACTGCTGCATAGAGATGAAGGAGAAGCTAGGAGATCCATCAGAGCCCAAACCCTGCTCCCGACATCCACACCTTCTTTCCTTCCGGCCCACTGTGCCAGGCACCGTACCAGGAGACAGGGAGAAAGTGTCGCTCACGGCCAGAAACAAGGGCACTGTCACTTGCCACACCCAGCTCTTGGTCTCTAGTATCAGCACCAAGAAAAGGAACCAGGGCCCCTGAGAAATGCCTGATCCCAGGCCTGGGGCAGCAAACACAGGAGGGGAGCCTGGAGCATCCTCTGGTGCCAGAGACCAAGGATGTGCTCAAGGAAAAAAAGCAACGGGCATGACAAGGGGACCCAGGAGCCCATGGAAAGAGCTCCTGGTGGCCAAAGACAGAACAATTAGAGCAACGAAATCAACCAGGTAGCAGTGGGATATAATCCAGTGTGAAAGAAATATCCGTGAGTCTGTACTGATATAAATTATTGAAGAGATAAATAAATGGGGGGAAGAGACAATCTCCTGCTCAGAACTCCAAATAATGGATGTAGATACTCTGCCCCCACAGAGGTGGAGCATGACCCCTCGCCCCTGAAGTGTGGGTGGCACATGGTGACCTTCCTTCCTTCCAAAGACCAGAGAGCGCGAGAAAGAATGGCCATCCTGCAGAGACGCCTGGAGACGTGCTCTTGGCCAAGGAGCAAGGTCGCGCAGCAGCGATGAGTCACATTGATAGGATGTACCCTTGATATGATGTTATGGGAATGACACTTTATCTTGTGCCCTTCCTCCTAAAACCCCATAATCCCCGTGTAATCAAGAGAAAAACAGATAATTTCAACAGAGGGACATTCTACAGAATGCATGACCAGCACTCCTCCAAACCGTCCATGTCATCAAAAACAAGGAAAGTCTGAGAAATGATCACACCCAAGAGGGATGTAGGGGACATGGTGATGACCTAATAGGACCCTGGAACAGAGCCAGGGCAGCGGGGCAGGCACTGAGGACATCTGAGTAGAATGTGGGCCTGTCAATACTGAACAGAATAATAACTTAAACCAATATTGCTCACGCGCTGTGCAAACACACCACAGAATGTAACATGTTACTAACCGAGGAAACCAGGCGCGGGGCATGTGGGAACTCTACCATCTTTGCAGTATTTCCTTAAACCTGAGATTGTCGTCCAATAAAGAGTTTCTTTTAAAAAATGTTTTCCCTAACCAAAAGTACGATAGATATTTGCACAAATTTTCCTTCTAAGCATATCTGTTCATCCAACAAATACAGGGTGATGCCTACTCTGGGCTGGTCCCCGTGCCAGGCTCTGGGGATACGACGATGAACAATATGGCAAGCCCTGTCTTTGGGGAGCTTCGGGTCTACCGTCTACCCGAAGAATGACCAGTGTGCAAGAGAGTGGGAAAAGTTACGAGTGACAGATAGAAATGATAAAAGGTCTATGAAAAACAGCTTGCAGAGTATAGATTCCCAAACATATATATTACAAAATACATACAGAACCGATGAAGCCCTAAGATTCGATGGCCGCTTGGACCACCTGACCCATGGTCGGAGACAATCAACGATCTGCCCATGGGGAGCAGAGCGAAGAAAGTGTGACATGGAAAATCTCCTAGCCTCTCTCAGGTAACGCTTTCCGACATCATTACACACCTGTTAAGCACACAAAAGGAATAAAAAATAAAACCCAACGGACACCGTGGGGCAGAGGAGTTAGGACAACTCATGGCTGGTGGGACCAGCGACTCACAGCCTCAGCCGTTCCTGACAGCAAGAGGACTCAAAGCACCAAGCAGCCTCTCCGTCCTTGTCCAAGGACCCCTTCCTAGGTAGCGCACCCCAAGGAATGACGAGAACGTAAGAGGGAAAAGTCCGTGATACCCCACCGTAGTCACAGCCGCACCATGTTTAAAAGAAGTCAACAGGGCACCTGGGTGGCTCAGTCGGTTAAGTGTCTGCCTTCGGCTCAAGTCATGATCTCAGGTCCTGGGATCGACGAGTCCCGCATCTCCTTGCTCAGCAGGGGCCTGCTTCTCCCTCTCCCTCTGCTGCTCCCCTTGCTTGTGCTCTCTCTCTCTCTCTCTCTCTCCCAAATAAATAAAAATCTAAAAAAAAAAAAAAAGAAGAAGAAGAAGAAGTCAACAGCCCCCCAAAGCCGGGCAAGAGGGTCCCAAGTGGCTGGTAGGTCAATGGCACTCAGAAGTGGGTCAAAGCAGGGTCCTGGGCCCTGGCTCCTCCACCTGCTGAGTGACCTGAAACCTCTCTCTGCCTCGGTTTCCCCACACACGAAGTGCGCACATTACTAACTCCTGCCTTCCAGAACCACCTTGAGGCGCGAATGAGATCCGGGGTAAAGCGAGCGCTGGGTCTGGAGAGATGCCCCGTTACTGCTGGTCACAGTGGGCGAGGACACCCGCCCTTGCTGAAGTGCTCTCGGGGCCACGGAAGGGAAAGGAGCCCCGTGCAGGGCGAGCCGCGAGGGCGGTTCGGCGGGGAAAGGCCGGGCTGCGACGTCGGGGAGGGCGAGGGCGAGGAGCGGACGTCTCCTGCCGCCCCCAGGCCGGGCCCCGGCGGGCAGGCGAGGGTGAGCAGGCCCTGAATCCACACACCGCCCACGGGCCCGGCAGGTCCCCGAGGCCTCGCTCGCCCGCACCCCTGCACGCACCTGCCGCCAGGACCCGCGCCGGCCCCACCTCTGCCCGAGGCCGGGTCTGGCCCCTCCCGCCTCCCCCCTGCCCGCGCGGCCGCCCGCAGTTCAGGTCACCTCCCTGCTTAAACCCGGCAAGGCCGCCCAGAGCCTGGGACCGGGTCCCGCTGAGGCGCACCGAAAACCCAAACAAGGCAACAGAACCAAGACGACGCGCGCACATCCGCCCGCGAGGTGCAGCCGGGCGGGCCACGCCGCCCACGACGCCCTCGGGGGCCGCCCCCTCGGCGCACACCCGCGCCGCCCGGGAGCCCCTCACCGTCCAGCCCAGGGCGGCCCCGCAGCGGCAGGCACCGGCGGGAGGAAGACCCCGCAAGGGAGAGCCGGGGCGGGCTCGCGACAGTTTCCTTTCGTCCCATTGGCCAGAACGGAGTCACGTGGCCAGCCCTCGCTGGCGGGAATGCTGGGAAATGTAGTCTTTCTTCTTGGCAGCCATTTTACTCTGGACGACAGCTAGCCCAGGATCTAGGCTCCTCCATGACCTGCCCCCTTGCCTCCAGCCCGACCCCGCCCCTCCTCCAGCTCACTCTGCTGTCTCGATCCATCCCGTAGGCCTCCGGGGACGTCAGGCCCTCAGAGCAGCCTTCCTGGTCCTCGCCCCCCAACACCGGCGTAAATGCGGCCCCGCCGCGCTCTCCCAAGGCACCTGCCCCCACTCGCACACGGCTGCCCGGCCCTTCCCTGGAGCTGGGGCCCTGCGCCGTGGGAGGGAGGGTGCCGCACCCCCGCAGTCCTGCACCTGCTGTGCCCCGGCCCACCGCCCCGCAGCCCCGCCCAGCCCCACCCCTCCCGCGCTGGCTGTAGGAGCCCAGGCCGCCCGCCAAGAAAAGGAACCAGGGCCCCCGAGAGATGCCTGCTCCCAGGCCCGGGGCAGCCGACACAGGAGGGCAGCCTGGAGCACCCTCTGGTGCCAGAGGGCTCGGGGGCCGCTGCTGGACGAGGATTCCCCCCCGGGGTGTGTTTCAGCAGGTTGCGCGGGGAGGGCCCAAGAATCTGCACCCGTGGTCCCTGGGCCACACCTCAGAGGAGGCTCTGAATATGCTCCTGTGGCGCGGGTGAGCTGGGACTCGCGTGGTGAGCACATCCGCTTGCGGCAGCCAACGGGAGGGGGGGCGGCTGTTGGCAGGGGCGCAGATGAAGAAAATCCAAATCAGGACGCGCACCACCTCCTGGACACCTCCACCGGGAGGTCCTCCAGCGCAGTGTGGCCCCAGGGGACTGCTTGTTTCCGTCCTTCACCCTCTCTGCGTGTGCACACACGTCATCCTCTGACTCGACCCTGGCCGCCACCTGGGGTGCTGCCCCTCCCCAGCCTCACTATTTTGCTGTTTTCCTTATTCGCTCATCTGTCTCATTCACTGCTGTGTCCCCCCGAATTGAGAACCGTGCCTGCCTGGCTCACAGAACGTGCTTCATAGGTCCTGAGAGAGGGAGACGGACAGAGCAGAGATGGGGGGGGTGCGCACACTAAACTCAGGGATCCCTTTCCTGCACACACACACACCCCCATGAGCACAGCTAACAAGGGACCCCCTCTGACCGCCTCGTGTGATGAAGTCCACAAGTGAGATCACCCGCATCTGTGAGCCTCTCTGAGGTTCCACGGGACCCAAGGGGGCAGGTGCGGTGGGCGCTAATCCGGGCCACCAGGCTGGAGCTGTGGCTGCCTCATCCCAGGACACCCCTTCATGGGCACGGCAGGAAAGGGGGCTCACCCAAGCTGGGGCTCCCACAGACAAAGCCAGCCTTGGGCTGAGCTGCCGGCCCTTGACTCCCAGGTCCTGGGAAGCCCACCATAGCCCTGACCCAGGCAGGCCTGAGACCCATGCACCCCAGAGCTCTCCCCAACTTACAAGCTGGAGGGGCCCCTCCCAGTGCTCTGGGGCCAGGGTGAGCAGGGCACAGGGGCCAAGAGTGGCTAGGAGAGGTGGAGTGGGGACACAGGCCTGCGGGATGGAGTGGCCCCTTCTGCTCTCCAGGCCTCTGGGACTGGTCCCCATCCTCCCTGCGAGGACACGTGTGCATGGGGGCGGGGGGGGAGAAGCCCGCCCAGAAGGCTCTGCCGGCAATAAAGGCAGATGCCACCCGAGGGCTGGGCCAGGGTGGCAGGCACGCGGCGACCCAGGCTGCATCCTGAGAATCAGGTATGTGCACAGTCTCGTGTTGAAGGAGGCACAGGGCAAGACCGGCCCGGCTGACCTTGGGACTTTGCTCCTCAGCAGGAACCAACCGGACGCCCTCATGTCTGGAAAGCCCATCATGGGGCACTCGGCTGTCCTCCTGGCCCTGGCTCTGGCCACCCTCCTGGCTGCAGGGGCAGGGGTTCCGCTCGGCAGGAAGGGCTCCCGGAATAAGCTGCTGCTGGTGTCCTTTGACGGTTTCCGCTGGAACTATGACCGGGACGTACAAACCCCCAACCTGGATGCCATGGCGCTCGATGGAGTGAAGGCCCACTACATGACACCAGCCTTTGTCACCATGACCAGCCCCTGCCACTTCACCCTGGTCACTGGTGAGCGTCAGCCTCGGGCTGGGGCCTGGGGGCAGGGAGGGGGCTGAGCATCTAGCGGAACCGACAGAGGGAGCCTGGTGTGTGCACAGAGCCCCATCCCCCCAGGGACCGCACAGGGACAAAGGAGACCAAGGAGGGGATGCTGTCCCTGGGAGACACAGCACGGCCAAGGGAGGGGGTCATCAGCAAGCCCCACTGTTGGTGGGAACTTAAACAAGGCATCAAAATGCCCAGCAGTCCCGTTTTAAACCGTGACCCCCAACCAAGGTGGCAACCCAGGAGGGCTTCTGGAGGAAGTGAGCGTGGCCGGGTTCCAGACAGGCAGAAGAGATGAGCCTGAGGCTCCTGCTCTTCCCACTGCGGCCCCTGAGATGCCCTCAAACCCTCCATGGCTCTGTTTGGGCTGGAAGTCTAGAATGCAGGTGTCAGGAGGGCCATGCTCCCTCGGGAGACTCTAGAGGACACTGCCTGCGGCTCCCAGCCTCCGTGGCGCTTCCGTGGCCCTTCCGTGGCCTGTCTCTCCAACCCCAGCTGTCTTCCCCTTGTGTGTCTCTCCTCGTCCTGTGAGGACGCTCATCCATAGACATAGGGCCCACCGTGACCCAGACTGCCCTCATCTTAACCTAACTTGTCACATCTCCAAAGACCCTATTTCCAAGCAAGGTCACATGTTGAGGCTCCGGGTCAACGTGACCTTGGGGGGAGACCCTACTCAGTACGGACGGCTCATCCGTATGCCAGCATTCTGTGACCAGGGCCCCCTGCTGCAAACATCTGGTTCTCCCCTCCTGCATGCCACCTGTTTCCTTACTAGATCATGGATGGGGATGGGGGGACAGGGGGCATGCTCTTCATCGTCCCTCCTCCTGTGGCTTCTGAGCACGAGTGCATGTGTGTCCCACACAAAAAGTGAATTTTAGAAAATAACTCATGGATGGAGCTCCACGTGGTGCATTGAAATGTCTGCCTGGGATTCTGCTTTATGACTGGGCCATAGCTGTCTCATTAAGTCCCTCCTGATAACCATCTGGGTCACTACCGGTCTTCGCTAAAACCCACGAGGCTACAGATAACATCCACACACACGTGCGTTTGCCCTGTGTGCACATTTAGCTGGTGGAGAAACCACGGGAACAGGTCATAGAACCTCGGGTTTGGAGAGGATGTGCCTGTGACCCCGAACGGGGGCTCCCCCCGGCCGCGTGTGCGAAAGCCTGCCCGCTTCCCTCCTGCCCTCCCACCTCCTACCTCCCCTCTGCCATCTCCTCCCCCCACCCCACAGGCAAATACATCGAGAACCACGGAGTGGTTCACAACATGTACTACAATACCACCAGCAAGGTGAAGCTGCCCTACCATGCCACGCTGGGCATCCAGACATGGTGGGACTACGGCAGCATACCCATTTGGATCACAGCCCAACGGCAGGTAATGCTGGCCCCGAGCCCACGGACGGCAGTCGGGGGACAGGGGAAGGGAGGACCTGGCCCAGAAAGGCTGTGACCTTGTGAGACCCATGCAGGCCTACTCCCCCCCCCAGAATCCTGGGCTCCCAGCATGGAGGGGTATTAAGTGGAGCCCCGAGGGTGGTGGGTGCTGGGTGCTGATGAGCATCCACCAGCAGGCTCCGTGGCCCTGCCCAGTCCTCCCTGCAGCCCTGGGATGCAGAGGGAGGGCCCCATCCTCCCAACGGGAAGGAAAACGGCGCCCCTGGGCCCCTGGCTCTGGGAGAGGGGTCCACACAGGGAAAATAAGATCACTCAACAAAAAGGCACCTAACAATAAAACAGCTTTCTGCCTTCCCCCTTCTGAATTCCTCCCGGGGCTGGGCCGCTAACTTCCAGAGGACGAAAGATAAGTAAGGGGTGGGCTGTAGGGTTGAGCCAGGAACCCCTCCATCCTGCAGTGCTCTGGGGAATTCCTGGCCCTCGAGGTGTGCCTGCTCCTCAACAAGGTCAAAGGGAGGTTTTTAAGATGAGCCCAGAATGAACTTCAGAGCCTACACCCACCCTCTGGGCAGGGCGTCTACTCAGGTCAGAGTCCCTTTACTCTGGAAGGAGCTACCCCGACGCCAGGCTCACGCATAGAAAGCCAGAGCTAAGAGCCTGGCATCACATGGTGCTCGGTCTAAACAGAAGGGCAGCTGGGGAGCGGACATGCAGACAGGGCGAGCTTGGACGTATGGCTCAAAAAGGACAGGATCTGTAAATAAAGCAGCAATGGATTTATGAAAAGGCAGATGGATAGCCAGGCAGATGGATGACCAGGCTGAAGGCTGGAAGGGCAGGCAAGGGGACACAGGTAGAAGGGCCTGGACGAGAATACAGTAGGGAGAGGCCAGTCTCCAGGCCAGAAGGGGAGGGCTGATTGGGCAGCTCAGCCATGGGGACCCAGGGCCATGGTGACGAGGAGGATGCCAAATATCTGGGGACACTTTTATATCCATTAGGTCGCTAATGCTGGGTCCACTGGGCACCTGATCTCTCCTCTATAAAATCAGTATCAGCCGTGGCAACATAAGAGTTATAAAAGGCCTCCCCCAAAAGAAAGACCCGTGCCTGCGCCGGGAGCAGGGCTGAGTGAGCCGACGGGAGGAGAGGCGGGCGGGCAGGGGGCAAGCCGTGACCGCGGCAGGAACGGGCAGGGGGCAAGCCCAAGGAGGCCTGTGGCTTTAATGCCGCCTTCCCTGGCAGGGCTTAAAGACTGGCTCCTTCTTCTACCCTGGCGGGAACGTCACCTATGAAGGCATGGCCGTGACACTGAGCCGGAAGGAAGGCGTTCTGCACAACTACAAAGATGAGGCGGAGTGGAGGGCCAACATCGACACGGTGATGAAGTGGT